AAAAAAAAGTAAATAAATTCCAGGGCACGAAAGCTTTGTAGATACTCTCTGAATAGGGTTACGAACTCCCTCCAGCACGTCCCCAAAATGGGAGGGCGCCCCTATTTCCCACCCCCACCCCACGTGCTTCCCGCAGCGGTCACACCCCGGATGCTGTCCTCAAACCACGTGTAACCACCCGGAAGTTGCGTCGTAGCTTGACCACGCCCCCTTGACCTCACACCCTCCAATCGCCGCGCGGGGGTGTGGCTCATCTGACCAATGGGAGGGCGAGGAGGAGCGAGGGGGGAGTGGCGCGGGGCGATGGAAGCGGAGGAGCTGCGCGTGGGGTTCGTGGGCGCCGGGAGAATGGCGGGGGGCCTCGGCCAGGGGCTGCTGCGGGCAGGTATGGGGGGGACAGAGCCTTGGATTGGAGCCTTGGAGCCAGAGACACGTGGTTTTCCCCTGGGAAAAATTCAGGTCTGGTGTCCTGCCCTATAGGGAGGTGTGGGACGGCGCTGTGCCCCACCTTAGGTGTCCCTGCCCCCATAGAGCAGTGTGGGGGCATGGCGGACAAGGCTGTCCCCTTTAAGATGTCACTGTCCCATAGAGCAAAGTGGGGACAGCTATGTCTAATCCGGATTTTGGTGACTCTTTCCTATAGATCAGTGCATGGGTATGAGGACAGGGCTGTCTCCTCTGGGATGACCCTGTTCCATAAAGCAATATGAGGATGCCTCCATCCTATTCCAGTGTCCCTTCCCTAGAAGTCACTGTGAGGACAAGTCTGTCCACTTTAGGATGTCTCTGTCCCATATATCAATGCAAGGACGTGGGGACACATCTTTCCCCTTTGGTGTCCTTGTCCCATAGCGCAGCATGGGGACATCGGGACAGTTGTGTCCAGTACCATCTCTGGTGTCTTTCCCTTATAGATCAGTGCTGGGACTTCAGAACATGGCTGTCCCCTTTGGGATGTCCCTGTCCAATAGAGCAGGGCGGGGACATGGGGATAGGTCTGTCCTAACTTGGATGTGGAGATGAGGACACTGGTGTTTCTCCCTTATAGAACAGTGTGAGGGCATGGGGAAAGGTCTGAGCTTCCTTGGATGTCCCATAGAGCATTCTGGGGATGTGATGACAACCCTCCCTATAGTGCTAACCCAACAGATGCTCCCAACATGTAGGATCACTTCCATTGCCACCGCATTGTGTCACAACGATGCCCCCACAGCTGTCCCCATGGCATGTCCCAATCTCTATTGTTCCATGTCCCGCATGTTAACTGGGCTGGGGATAATGCATTATCCCATTGGTTTTGTGGCTTCCTGTGGGCTACTCCATCCACTCATCCACGTCCCTTATGTCCCCAAGGGAAGGTCCCTGCCAGCAACATCGTTGTCAGCGCTCCCTCGGACCGCAATCTGGCAGAGTGGCGGGTCAGTGGCATGGGGACAGAGTGACAACCCCAATGGGAGGTGGCATTTGGGGTCACCTTTTGTAAAGCTCTGTAGGGCTCTGAGGGACATTAGGGTGGAAAGTCCCCAAGTGTTCCCTGAAAGGGAACGCTGGGTTGGGATATTGTGATCAGGACAATGAGGATGGGACAGTGGGGTTGTGATGTTGCATTGGGTCATGGGGTGGGGACAGTGGGGTCAGGACAATGGGGTTGAGACATGAGATTAGGACACTGGATTGGGATACAGCATTGGAACGTTGGTGCTGGGATATGGGGCTAGAAAATGGGATTGGGACTTGGGGCTGAGACATTGGATTGGGGTTGGGACACGGCATCATGATGTGAGGTCGGGATGAGAGATTGGAATACAAGGCTGGAATGTGGGGTTGGGACACTGGTTTTAGGACACAGGGTTGAGACAGTGGGGTTGAGACATGGGGTAGGGACACTGAATTAGGAAATAAGGGTTGTGATGTTGGGTTGGGAGGGGTGGTGGTGTTGGTTTGGGACATGGGGTTGGGATTTTGGGTTGGGACCCGAGGTTGGGACATGGGGTCAGGATCAGAGGTTGGGGCATGGGATTGGAATTTGAATTTGAGACACTGAGTTGGGACATTGGGGTTGGAATGCAAGGTTGGGACATGGGGTTGAAATCTGGGACTGGGATGGGATGTTGTGATATGGGGTGTGACATGGTGTTGTGACCCTGTCCCCTGCCCTTGTGCAGGAGTGGGGCTGTCGCACCACGCACTGCAACCTGGAGGTACTTCAGGAGAGCACAGTGGTGTTCTTGGCCACCAAGCCCCACGTGCTGCCCACAGTGCTGCAGGAGCTGCGTCCTGCTGTCACCTCCCAGCACCTCCTCATCTCACTGGCAGCTGGTGTCAGCCTGCAGAAGCTGCAGCGGGTGGGTGCTCTCCTCTTCCTCTTGTTCCTCCTTCTCTTCTCCCTCCTGCTCTTCTTCCTCCTTCTCTGCTTCCCAATCCCCCATCCCAGCTGACCCCCATCACCCCTCACTGACTCTATTCCCCCCCAGCTGCTCCCCACGGGGACGAAGGTGCTGCGCCTGATGCCCAACCTGCCCTGCGTGCTGCAGGTGGGAGCTGCTGTGTTCTCCCGTGGCAGTGGGGTTGGGGATGGGGATGCAGCGCTGCTGCAGTCCCTGCTGTCCCCATGTGGGCTGTGTGAGGAGGTCCCCGAGTCCTACATCAACATCCACACTGGACTCAGTGGCAGTGGCGTTGCCTATGTAAGTACAATTCACCATATTGGGGTGCTCGGATTTTTTTGGGGATCCCCTCTTCTCCCCACTGCTTTTCCCCTGCAGGTGTACCTGTTCGCTGAAGCCATGGCTGAGGGGGCAGTGAAGATGGGGATGCCAGGAAGCCTGGCCAGTAGAATTGCAGCCCAGACTCTGCTGGTGAGCAGTTATGGGGATGTGGGGACAACCCTATCCCCAGCCTTGGTTGCCTCTTCCTTATAGATCACTATAGGGACATCCCTGACTCCATTTTTTGGGGTCTCTGTCCCATAAAGCAGCATGGGGACATGGGGATCCCACTGTCCAACCCCAACTTTGGTGTCCCTCTCCTATAGAGCAATGTGGGGACACGGAGAGAGGGCTGTCCCCTTTTGGTGACCATGTGCCATAGAGCACTGTGGGGACATTGCTGCTCCTTCCTTGGGGTCCTTATCCCATAGATCAGCGTGAGGACATAGAGGTCCTCCATCCAATGATGAGACAATGCTGCGATCCTTAAGCAAAAAGGAGGTTTGAGGGAACCTCTTGACCCCATACATCCCCAGGGAGCAGCGAAGATGCTGTTGGAGACAGGTGAGCACCCAGCAAAGCTGCGTGGAGACGTCTGCACACCTGGTGGGACCACCATCCATGGGTTGTACCAACTGGAGAAAGGAGCGTTGAGGGCCACCGTCATGAATGCAGTGCAAGCAGCCACTGAGCGGGCGAGCGAAATGGGGGAGGATTAACAGACATCCCATCTCGTCCTGTGGTAGTGGGGACCACAGCTCTTGGTGCCACCAAACCAAATCATGGTGCCACCAAAACAAAGCTTGGTGCCACTAAAATGAAGGCTGTTGGTCCCAGACTAAAACATGGTGCTACCAAACTGAAGCATGGTGACCCCAAACTGAAGCATCCAAACTGAAGCCTGGTGACCCTAGACTGAAGCATTGATGACAGCAAACCAAAGCACAGTGATCCCAAAGTGGAGGTTGGTGACCCCAGACTCAAGCATGGTGACACCAAACTGAAGAATGGTGCCAC